ATGGTCTATGAAAATGTGGTCTAAGATGGATCGGGGGGGGGGGGGGGGGGGGGGGTAGGGAGAATGATAACATTGGGGCTTTGTTGCAATCAGTCCTTATGCCTGATTACCTTTGTATGCCAGAGCCTAGGCCAGACCCTCTATTTTGCCAGACATCTATAGGGTGCTAAATTTGGAAACTATTCGTTCTACATTATGGCAGCTTCTATAGATACTGCTATGGGCATGGGTGAAAGATCAATCCAGTGTATTGAGTATTGGAGATCCTTGATATTCAAGACATATGCTCAACCTCTTGGAAGTTGAAATGCATTTTGCTGTTTACTAATGTGTTTATGTTTTCCAGATTCTAGCTTTTGTTTGGAGATGTGGCATGTTGTTCAAGTGATATGCTATACATCTTAAGTCTTGAATTTTATTTTGCTGTTTACTATGCATATTTAAACAGCACAACAAAACACTGTTGGAGATTAGGAGATCCTGCAATAAGCATTAAGTGTGGAAACACTACATGTGATGGAGGCAGGATTTACAAACTATTTTAAACTAGATTGCCTCTTTGACTTCTACAACATAATACTCCCATCCTAAACACAGAATGGACTTTTCTACCCCATAATCTACCTGGGAAGACTTTGCCAGTTGGTGAGAGTAGTGTCTATTACCATGTTGTTATCTAGGAACTTATGAAAGAAGAATTTAAGCATTTGCTATCCACCTTGGCACTTATTTTGGTGTTGTATATGGCTCAAGAACAGTCTTCACAGGTCATGTGGCTTTGGAGGTTTGGGAACAAGTATATCTTTAAGGTATTACACAATATATTACACAATTTTATGTAGATGAATTTGCCCTCCCTCTCTTTGTGTCTTACCCTCATTATAAAGGGAAATATAGATACAGGACAGGATGACTCTTAGATGAAAAAAACAGGAAACCGAAGTTAACAGCATTCTCTCCTGATGTTTCATCCACATCTATGGCAGGCATCCTCAGAGGTTGCGAGGTCTATTGGAGACTAGAGAAGTGGGATATATATGTGTGTGTGTGTGTGTGTGTGTGTAATGTTGCATTTGGCCACCTTGACAACATTGGCCACATTCACACTTGCCACAACACAATGTTATAAAACATTTTATTAAAATTCAGTCTTCTCTGTATCATGACTATGACTGAAAGGATACACATTTTCCCCATCAAGTTGCAGCTAATGTTTTGTTTCTGTATAGTAAAAATGGTGAACCAAAGAGCAGTTTTTCTACTTCATTCTATTGGTCTGGCAAGTATATGATTTTGTACTTTGTATTGTATTCATGAATAAGACATTAGCAGAGGGACCCAGCTCTATACTATATAGGGCCATTGTAATTCATCTGATTATGAATGCCATCCCAAAGTCAACCAAAATCCATCTCAATTTATTAAATCACAAGTGCCACTCCACTCGAGGAGACAGAGACCTGTCACTGGTGTGGCAATAATACCACCAATATGGCAGATATATAGGACAAGTTTGTATACATTGATATCACCACAGATATGTGGCAGCTAAGTATGTGCAGAATCCTAAGTCCACTTCTCAAAAAAAAAAGTAATCAGCTTCAAGGTCTGGGAACAAGCCTGGCCATTTTCTTTCTATTGTTTTTTGTGGGTGTGAAGTAGTATGACAAAGCTGCCAGGGAAGTCACGCTCTCCCTCTATTCTGTCTTGATCAGACCACACCTGGAATACTCTGTCCAATTCTGAGCACTGCAATTTAAGGAAGATGTTGATAAGCTGGAATGTGTCTAGAGGAGGGTGACTAAAATGATCAAGGATCTGGATAACAAGCCCTATGAGGAGTGACCTAAAGAGCTGTGCATGTTTAGCCTGCAGAAGAGAAGGTTGAGAGAAGACACGATGGCTATTTATAAATATGTGAGAGGAAGTCATAGGAAGGAGAGAGCAAGCTTATTTACTGCAGCCCTAGAGACCAGGATGCGGAGCAATGGATTCAAACCACAGGAAAGGAGATTCCACCAGAACATTAGGAAGAACTTCCTAACAATGAAAACTATTCAGCCGTGGAACTCCCTGACCTGGAGTGTGGTGGAGTCTCCTTCTTTGGAGGCTTTTAAACAGAGGCTGGATGGCCATCTATGGGAGGTGCTTTGAATGTGATTTTTCTGCTTCTTGGCAGGGGGTTGGACTGAATGGCCCATTAGGTCTTTTCCAACTCTATGATTCTATGATCTCTATCCTGGGGGAAGAAATCTAGTAGGTCTTAGGGGATTGAATGTTCCACCACAACCCATAACAGCTCACGTGAACCTTGAATTCTCTATGAACAAATCTCACCAAACAGTGTATCTTTGACACCTATTAATTTCAAAGATTTCAACCACAGAAAAACTGAGAAATTCTCCATTTCCTGTTTTTCATACCCAGTGTGAGGAACATGAGCTGATACTATGACTCCTAAAATGTTGATGGGTATACTTGTTGAACTGAGTATTCACAGAATGCATAGCAAACTGAATTAATTGTACAAGGGTGAGTAAAAAATTAACCGCATTCTGGTTATGTTAAAACTTCTGTTGGCTACACTGTCTTATCAGTACTTTCTGTAAAAGGCCATTATCACCCTAGTTACTACTGTACAGTTTTGAAAGTGTTACATTAGCTTATTTGTGACTGTGGTGAAAACAAATGGTGCCCCACCCCTGTGATTTGCAAAAAGGAAGAAGAGTGTGCAGTGAAAAATGTTCAATCAACAGGGCCCATTGCAGTGAGATCCTCACTGAAGAACTGAAGTCTAAAATTTAGATAAAACACTGTGGACTGCTATCCAAGGGTGTTGTGCTGTTGCGTAACAATTCATATCTGCACACCACTGAGCACATTGTCGACACTCTCCAAAAACTTTGTTTTGAAATGCTACTACAGCATTCCACCCTATAGTCCTGATCTTAGCACTTTGGACTATCACTTGTTTGATCCCATAAAAGCATGGTAGTTAATTATGTAAAAATGATATATCTGTTTTTCTGAAAGTTGATTAAAATAAATTCTACAGTCAAAGTGTGGATCATTTTTATCTGACATTCATTTTTGGGGAATCATAGGTCTTGGAAAGAGACAATGGATATTTTAAATGTGTGTAAATTCTACTTGCTCACAGAGGTCATCTGTTTACAGTCAAAACAGGGTTCAGATGACATTTTTTATGACTTTTTAAATCAAGGAAATGGAACCACAGGCTCTCCCAAACTGCTTTCTGGCAATGGTATTTTGCACAAATGAATCCTCTGAAACAGGTTTTTCTACTCATGACAAAGTATGAAGCATATTCTAACATCACACTTAACAGTGTTAACATAAAAATACTGAAAGAAGCTTGTAGTTTTTCTCTTTACAATATTGGCTACACAACTCACTCTGTTTTTTGTTCATTCAGTATGTTCATTCATTACTCTTCCACTCAATTTCTGTAGTATTCAGGAATTTAAAAGGGAAAGGGAAGTTTGCAGGGAAGTAAGAGTTTTGAATGGATCTCTCAACAAATGCCACCTGTTTTTTTCCTTCAAAGTACTTGATTCTAAAAGTAGATGTCTAAATATATTTTGAAAAGAGGAAACAAACCAGACAGATGAGCAAGGAGCTCAATTGTACACTTTTGAAAATGTCACTTTCTTTTATTAAAGTTCAGAAAGGTTTCCTCAACTCTATAAGGTAAAGAGAGAAAAACATGATATACTGTCTGATGGATGGCTAGAAGTGGGAAGAAACAAAAATTCTGGAATTAGAAATGAGATAAATCTGTTAGAAAACACAATTTTTGAAAGAGAGTCTGAAGCATCTCCAGTTCTTTAATTTGCATGTTGAGGTGTCTGAGGAAACAGGACTAAGCTGATGTAATTTGCAGATTACAGTCATATCAGGTACTGCTAATACAGAAAAGAATCAGGAAATTATGCAGATCACATACCTTAGATTCACAAAACCAAATTATTTATGACACAGTCTAATGTGAAGAAAGCACTGTGCTCATTATTTCTGTTTGTAATCCTTATTAGTATTATTAGCACTAATTGCATTTGTGATAAATGTGAAGCAATAGCCCTGATCCACATTAAAGCAATTGGGATTTTGATTGGTATTCCCTGCAATCAGTGTTTTGTTGAGATAAATGAACTAGTCAACAACAAATCAACAATACATTACAACATTAAAGGCCTTTATTAACTATAGGAGAGTAGAGCTCTCCTTCCTGATTTCGATTCAGAAAACACTGAATGTTCACCTTGAGCAAGCAGGTCATGGAATAAGCTTTTATTGTTGCTCCAGACCTTTTAGCATCACTTGTCTTCCTTCCACTAAATCAAAACTTTGCTCCTAATTGGGAAACTTTATAGACCAAACTGTGTTTCCACTGAGTTGCCTTAAGCAGTCACTCATTTATCATAGCAAAAGGAAAGGCTGAATAATTCCTATCAAACACTCACTATTTTGCTTGTTGAGAATTCAGTTTTGCAGGTATTTATTCAGCACCATGGTAGCAAACTGATTGCTGGCCTGAAGGTAAAACCAGAGGTTTCCAGAATGTCAGTTTTATCTCAAGAAGGATGAAAGATAGCTACAGGGGATATCGTTGAACCTCCCATTCAGAGAAAAAAGAAGTGTGAATTCTAAGATTGTGATTTACCACACCGTCTGATGTTATACGGTAGATGTATAGACAAAATTTTCCATTTAATCTTTATTTTCTGAAAACATAATTATGGGAGTTGTTATTAGGCTTATGCATTTCAGCTGAACCTTGAGCTGTTTCTGCTGTCTAAATTTTGGGGCACCCCCAGATCTGTTAGAGTGCTCATGGGCTAGGGCTTACCAGTTCTTGATGTCTATGCCACAGTTTTTCCCCCCATTATTTGGTTTTAATTCTTGGGGAAAAATCTCAGGAGTTTCAGGAAAGAAAGGAAAACTGCACAATATGTTGATGGTGTTCAGCCCTGAAAAATAAGAGCTGTGGTTGATTGGTTGAAAGGAGCCATTCTGGGGCTTGGGAGCTCCTCACAGGCCCAGTTTGGTCCTCCTCCAGTGCCTCTGCTTGGAGTTGTACCTGATCTTATTGCCGGTTTTCAACCAAATCCATTGGGGAATCGGCCGGTTCTGCTTCTGCTTCTTAGCCAGGAAGCGCTTGATCTTGAACATCTTGGGGGACAACATGTCCGCAGCTCTGCCCCCAACGCCAAAGACTGAAAGGAAAAGCCACAGTTTTTAAGGAAGCCCATCTGCAAATTTCTTTTCCTGTCCACCAACATTCCTCTTTCCATTCTGGAGTTGGGAGTATAGTAACTGCTTTGGGAGATGGTGGTCGGGCATTCAGACATTATGGACAGTCCAGCAAAGTTGGTGGAGTAGAATCATCACTTCAATGGTGGTGGCCTCTGCTTCTTCCAGCATGCTGGCATTTTTCCACCTGTCTTCCCACAAGATTTGCAGGATTTTTTGGAGGCAACACTGATGGAATTGTTCCAGGAGTTGGGTATGACGTATGTAAACAGTCCACGTTTCGCAGGCATATAGCAGGGTTGGAAGGACAATAGTTTTATAAACAAGCACTGTTGTAGTAGAGCCTGTAAGTAATGTTGCAAGCAGTAGTATGGGGTGCCAGAAGGGGAAAAAGGGTCATTCACGAGCAGGAGTCAGATGAGGAAAAGCAGAGGAAAAGGATTCGGATATATTTATGGCACCTACAGATGAGGACTTATTTGAGGGGTTCTCTGGGGATGAAGGGTCAATGAGTGAAGGAGAGGAGGGAGACACAATGGATGGGAATAGAGGAAGAAAGAGGGTAACTCGGGAGCAGGAATTGGATGAGGAGCGACAAAGAAAGAGGATCCAGGATATACTTACTGTGGCACCTCAGGATAAGTTTCACCTTGCTCTCAAACACCACCAAACCACGGCTGTAGGATTTATAATTTATTGTAAAAGTTCCAAAAGAATGCAAAGGTTAAGTCAATACAAAGTTACAAAGTTCAGGTAAAATGCATGGTACAGATCCAGACCAGAAATCCTTCAGAGGCAATCAAAGTAAACAGGAATCAAGAAGCACACCCTTGTGCCCAGCAGCTTAGCCCAAAAGCCACACGAAGAAATCCAATACAGAAGCATGAAACAGCTAGCAGATAGCCACGTTGAAACTGACAGCTAAGAATTGCCCGAAGCAGCCCTAAATTCTGCACATCAAAACAATCTAGCTTCCCACAGACTGCTTTCCCATTGCTCCCTTGACCTGTGGCTGACCTAACTTGGCTGCGATCCGAGAGCTCCATCTCACGGTTTCGCTATCCCTTTGAAGGAGCACCTGACCCTCCTCCTTATCAGCAACATTCCTGTCCTGTGAGAACTGCTTCTCCAGCTCAACTGCAGGCTGAGAAAACTGTGAAAACTGAAAACCATCAGACTCAGGGGCCTGTTGAACCACAACACTTATGGCACCTACAGATGAGGAATCATTTGAGGGTTTCTCTGGGGATGATGGGTCACAGAGTGGGGAAAACGGGGATGACACTGTGGATTGGTCTAAGGTAAAGGAAGTGCAAGCTATTTGTGTGGAGCCAGCATCTAGTGATACATTTATGGGATTCTCCGGAAGTGAAGATTGGCAATTGGAGAATACAGCTGAGTCTTAGGAGGAATCTAAGTCTTGACAGGAGATGGAGAAGATGGAGGGATGGGCATGGGCATGGGACCTCACTTGAAGAGTTGGGAGCAGCTGCAAGGGATAATTATGGGGCGGTGGTCAGTTCATCTGATGATGATGATGATGATGATGATGATGTGTAATACAATTGGCTTCAGAAATGGGGAATCTTTGCAGAAGGCAAGGTGTTGGTATATGTTCGTGCATTGGGTACTGTTTGGACTTGTCACTGCCTGTTCGTGTTCGGCATTGGGTTTGGGATCTGCAGTTTGCTGCTCCTGTTCGTGTGTGCTTTCAACTTGGATTGGATTCTCGTGAGTGTGGATTTCCCCCTTCCTTGACCTTGGACCAGCTTGACTACTACGCTGCTTTTGTGGACTTTGGAACTTCGCTACTTTAGATTCCTCCTGCTACGACCCTGGACTTTGCTTGACTACACTTTCCTCCTTGCGGCTTCTCTGATTTGTTAACCATTTGCTTGCTGTACCTTTTCTTTGTGTGATTTCGGAGTACTGTGTTTGATTCGGTTCTTTTGTCCAAATAATCTGGATTATTCTTTTGTTTACCCTTTTGAACCAGGACTGGTTTTACCTTTGAGTTTTGACCAGAGGCATTGAGTTAAGTGTCTCTGAGTCTTTTTTTCTTTGTTTAAATAAACTCTGTTTTGGAACTAACTCTGAGCCTGGCCCTTTAAGGCGTCTGTGATTTGGTATCCCTACAGATGTGGCGAGGGGGCTTTGTGTTCCAATGAGCCTGCGAGCATACCACCAAAGTCATGCACTCCCAGGAGGGGCCACAGGGGGGTTCTAGACCGAGCACAATTTGAAGACCTGGAGACCTCAATGGCAGATCAAGTGGAAGATAACATGGTACATGTTACAACGGTGTGAAGGCAGAAGAAATAAAAACAAACCATCCAAAGTCCTAGCAAGTGGTGAAGGGGACAGAACTGCCAGCCTTCTTTAAGAGAGTGACTCACTCCTTGAAACAGCTATAAACTGCAGCTGCCATCAGTCTATCTTCATCACAGTGAACACCAAGCACCACTGCATCATTGTGCTTTAATGAAGACCACAGATGTGGACCTGTAACACTACAGTCTGTTGTGGTGGGTGGTTCCTTTGTCAGAGATATACCTGCATCATTGTAAAGATATAACTCACAGCCTGTGATGTCGGATCTTGCCCAAACATATTAAATAATTAACTATTTGCTGCCTTTGTATAGCATCCTGAGGCAGCTATCTCACTCTTTCTTATATTGTAAATAATATATAATTAGTGTTAACTTCCTTTTTCAATACTGGGCATTTGAATGCTCCATTAATTTGTGTAGTGTTTCTTAAGAGTTTCCTAATCCTGGAGGAAATGTATTTTTATATGTTATGCAAGGTTTGAGGGGTTTTTTTTATCTTTTCTTTTCCATTTTTTAAAATCTCTTAGGATTATACCACTGAATGTAAGATTTCATTTCTCCTGTGTGATTTACTTCAAGGACAGGATCATTTCTTTTCAACCCACACATTGATCTGTAGGCTCATAGTGTAACCCCAAATCATGTTGTTCTAAATTCTCTTTTATCCTTTCTCCTTATATCTGCTGCACTTCAGTATACTTAGACATCTTTCTTCTTGCTGCTTTAAGGTAAAAGAAAAATGTAAGAAACAGTAATAAATATAATACGTGAAAGTACATATGTAGAATCTCCAGTGGGACTTTTAAGCTACAAATAAACATTATTTTCCGCACTCTGCAAATAAATGTGTCAAAGTGAAAATAAATCATTAATTTTAATGGTAGGGCTACTGATTAAAGCAGCAGCAACATTAACATGTTATGCTAGAAAAGGAAACCAGCAAGTCTCTGGTAACTGTCCAGTGACAGTCTTGCAAAAATATATATCTTTTTTATTAATGCTTAAGCTAACCTTTTGCAGCAAGTATGATGACAAATATATATCAAGCACATTAATGAAAAGAGGTCACACAATTTCACAACTGAAGAAATATGTGTCTCCACAAGCCATTGTAAATTGCTTCATTTATGCTATGGAAATTTGTCTATAAGAGAGTTAGTTGTTTATTTATTCGGTTGCTTCTGACTCTTTGTGACCTCATGGACCAGCCCAGGCCAGAGCTCCCTGTCAGCCATGGCCACTCCCAGCTCCTTCAAAGTCAAGCCAGTCACTTCAAGGATACTATCCATCCATCTTGCCCTTGGTCTGCCCTTCTTCCCTTTTCCTTCCTTTTCCCCAGCATCATAGTCTTCTCCAAGCTTTCCATAAGTAGCCAAATTACTTCATCTTTGCCTGTAATATTCTTCCCTCCAGTGAGCAGTCGGGCTTTATTTCCTGGAGTCTGGACCGGTAGGGATGTGCAATTTAGTTAAACTCTGTGCCATTTTCAGTGTCTGAATTTCAACCCCCCCCCCATTCATTTTTCAGGAGCCTCCTGCATTTGGGTGGATAAAATTTCGTTTTTCAATCTGGCAATCAAAAGATCAATTTTCACTTTGAGAAGATCCGGCCCACTGGTCGCAATGGGGGAACTTCTGAGGCTTCCCATTAAATCATTTTTAGAGTCTTAGTCTTAAAAAACCACTTTTCTGGGATCGTCTCCCCTAATATTCTTCAACTAGTCCTGGGTTAAGGCTTCAGACTTAAGAAACCACCTTTTCAGGGTTATCTCCCCTAATATCCTTCAACTAGACCTGTTTTAAGGCATAAGGTTTAAGAAATCACCTTTTCTGAGGTTGTCTCCCCTAAGATCCTTCAACTACACCTAGGTTAAGGCATCAGTCTTAAGAAACCACTTTTTCTGGGGCTGCCTCCCTAATATCTTTAAACTAGACCTGGGTTAGGGCATCAAACTTAAGAAACCACTTTTTCTGGGGTCATCTCCCCTAATTTCCTTGTTGCAGTCCAGCCACCGAGTGGACATTTCTGCACCCAAAATAACACTCGGCCAACAAGGAAAAATTGAACTGAATTAAAATGTACTGTAAAAAGAAGTGTAATATAGAAAAAATCTAGTTGAAAAATACATTCCAAAATAAAAACTAGAAAAATCTCCTCAGATTGTACATAAAAGGCAGAAGCATGAATGCATTCTAAATACTGGTTTCAAGGAACATTCCAAAATTCAGGTTACAGCCATAATATTCTTGATGCAGCAAACTGCACAGATCAGTATAGAAAGCAAAGCCAAAAATCCACAGAACTTAGACTATATCCAAAACATAACTCTTCAATTCCAAACCAGGAAACATGGCATGAAAGCAAAGCCAAAAATCTTTTATCCCACAGCTCATCGAAACAGGATAATCTTCTCTTGAAAATGCAAAGTTGCTCTCACAAAGAAAAACTCACAGCGCTGACTTAAGAAACCAACTCATTTCCAAGGGGACACTAACAATCTACCACCCAGCATTTCTCTGTTTATCTTTTAGATGCTGTGAGCATTATCATCTTAACTGAAGGTACTGAGATATAGGCAACAACCCAGTTTCTCCCTTCTCTCTCGCATCATTCCCAGGGTGA